TCAACTCCCAGAATTCCCTAGCCAGCCATGCTGGCTAGGGAATTCTGGGAGTTGAAGTCCATACCTCTTGAAGTTCCCAAGGTTGAGAAACACTGGCCTAGATGTTTTGCATTTAAATAACGATTTGCAGCTACACATCCCGATTAAAGCCAGGAAAAAGTGGGTAATCATCACCTATTTATTTTACATGCTTCATCATCACCAGGACAAGGAAACTACTGGAAAAAAACCCCCCACAATAGCCTGAATGAGTCCAGAACAAAGTAGCACAACCTGTTTGCATTTAAAGCCTCTTTCATAACATTCCCTTTGTCCTACTTTCATCCCTAAAGTCCACTTTTAGAATTCATATTCAAACAGTCTGATTGGAAGGGTTTAATCTGGAAACTACTGTCATTTAGCCTGGATTTGTTAGAACACCTACTAACCTAAATTATTTGAATCCTTGATATTTACAAAAGCATCTTAAAAACTGGAATATGTAACTATCCGGCCTGTCCAGCTGTGGGTGGTGAGATGGTGTGAATTTCACAAGTTCTAAAGAATATAACACTGAAACGTATCAGGATACTTGACCCAAATACATTTCGGAATAAGTAGGCCAAATGAACAGAAAAATGGTTAAATACAAATTGTAAAAGGACGAATACTGATGCTATAATGTTGTTTCACTGACCTTAGTCAGCCCAAAAACTGCTTTGCAATTTGGGAGATGCCTAAAGCAGGAGAATTCTTTTCAGCTAAGCCTCATCTCATGATCTTATAGCACCATGCTGAATTTGCTTTATAGGAAAATCCCATCATTGGGATTTTTAACTTCAATCCTGTCTTCCATTTCTGCCATTCCTAATTGAAAAACAGGAAGATGAACGCTGTCTCCCCTAGTTGCTACATGGCAATATATGATGACAGCAGAAGTAGCATGTAGAGAAAAAAAATAGGACACAAGATGAGATAGACATCAAAGATTTGCATAATATGTTTATCCTGATTACTGGATTAACTCATTTTCTGGGTTCATACCACATACAAAACCACCTAAAAAGTCAATCCTAACTACAACTAAAAAAAAGTTAGCGAGCTATGGCAATGCAGCTGTCAATGTAGCCAGCAAAAACATGCCTGAAATACTTTTTCTTTTTTTAAAAAAGAGAGAATCCAAAGAATCCAAGGGGGGGGGGAAGAAAGAAAGAAAATCCAAAACCCAGAGCACAGAAGATCAGTGAAGCTCAGAACCAGATTTATTTATGTATTAAATCTATATGCTGCCCAACTTCCAGAGACGCTGGGTGGTTATGTGAAGTTATAAAGTTATATGAACAACATACAGTATGCCTTCCTTTTTCTTTATAAATTATTTTCTCTTTAACTCTGTCAAATGCCAAATTAAAAAAAAAAAAAACAGTCGCAAATATAGAGTTGGAAGGGATCACCCAGTCAAACCAAATCAATCTTCATTACAGTCATAGACCAGCCTAATCGACCCTCTGCCTAGCACAGGAATCACTGTATCCCTGACAGGTAGACACCCAGCCTCTGTTTAAACCAGTGCTTCTCGGCAGCTTGAAAAGGTGTGGACTTCAACAATGTGTGGAGTTGAAGTCCACACATCTTCAAGTTGTCAAGGTTGAGAAGCACTGGTTTAAACTCTTCCAGTGAAGGAGAATGTACCACCTCTCAAGACAATCTCTTCCATTGTTCAACAGCTCTTGTTCAACAATACTACTATGTTGTCAGTTAAACCTGTTGTTTTTATCTCCTGGAACAACCCTGAACAACTTCTGCTCCACCTTCTAAGGATGACAGCCCTTCTGACGTATCTACAATGGTTTCTTAAAGCGCCTTCCATTTTTTCTTCTCACTCAAACATTATGCCTTTCGCTAATAGCTCTGCCAATTCCAACGGAGCCACCAAATAAATCACATCGAGACAGGAGCTCTTTCTTGTACTAATGCTCCAAAAGCTTTTCAGTCATCTCGTGACAGGGCTTTTTAAATGTCAATAGCCACCATTTGCTGGGAGTCACAATTGCAAGATTGCCGGAGCAAAGGGCAGGCCCGGAGCCAGAAACAGAGTTGGCGTTTCTGTCAACTATCTGAATCGATTCTTTGCATTCAGCTTCTCAAATCTCGGCCAGAGAATTACGGATTTATTTGCTGGGCTAGCAAGGCAACGTAGTGAACCATCAGCTTAATGACCCACGAGAAAGAAGCAGCACCAGAGTTACAGTAGGATCAGCCGGTCCTAACTGCCTGTTCTTCTCTAGGGCCCTGCTAATGGAAAAGCATGGTATTTTTGTTCCTAGCATCAAAGTGAAGATGCTGTCCCCAAGGTCAGTTATGGGATGTCATCAGGTGAACACATTTCAGCACCACGTTTGTTTGCGAAAACACCTCCAAGCAGTGTATGTAATTAAAATAAAAGAGAAAATGAGATAGAAACAAATACAATGATGGCTAGTTAAAAACATTCAACATGAAATTTATGTATTTTAAAAGGAAGGAGAGGTTGGGGAGGGAACAACATTCACCCAAGGAAGATGTGGGTGAAAAAAATCAGCCTCTGCCACAGTGTTTCTCAAG